AAATTTTTATGATATCGTCAAACATATATTTTATTCAAAAATAAAAACATCATCGCTTTCTCAAAATCACATAAAGTCATATTATAACATCGACCGAGATAAAGAATAAAATGAAATATTAAAAACACGATGTATCTCGCTGCATTGCGCGAGTACTCTTCTAGTATATTATAAAGTATTTGATATAAAATTTTATAGACAAACAATTCTATTAACTTACTATGCATCATGTATTATTATTTATCAATATAAATATCTTAAAATTCAAATTAAATTCACAAGTTATTATAATTTACATACAACAATCTATAAAATTAATTGATCGATAACGTATTGATAAATCAATAGGTTTACTTCATTTTTTTTAAAATCTTAATTATCTTAAATATTATTAAATTTTAGTTAAACAAATTATATAAAAAAAACTAATGATATTTATTTGTTGTAATGAATTTTTCATAGTTAAAGAGTGGTTGTGAGAATGCATTTATTTGGTTGCTTAATTAGAAGCAAGTTGCATTCTGAATGAAGGGGGAGAGATTTGGACATGATATATACAAAGGTAGTGGCATTGTAATGGAGGAGTGTTATACATGACTACATAGAAAGGGGAGAAGTCAATTAATATAAAATGAGTGAATAATTTTAAATATTTATTGGTAGGAACATAAACGAATAAGACAAACATTTTTTTATTAATTATTAATTGTTAATTATTAGATATGTATGTCAACTTGATATATCCAAATGGCAATGAATTTCGGCTCACAAGACAAAGCCAACGAATAATTATAAAAATAACAAATACTAGACGTTGATTTAGTTTAAAAGTAATATAATTATTAATCTGATTTATGAGTTTCAATTCTAAAGTGATGGATCTTGACTTTAATATCATGTGACAATATTTAGAATTTGAGATTAATTTTTTTTAAAAAAATTGAAAAGAAAAAAGAGGTTTCAATATATATATATATAAGGAATTATGTACAAATCTAACTAATTGGGATTCTAACATTTTTAAAGATAATTTATTTTACTAAGATAATGTAATTTTATACAAAGAAATGGTAAATTAATAAATTGCAAAGGCTGTTAAGGATTTTTGTAACATCCCGAAAATTTAAAAAATAATTATATTTCGGTGTAATTGGTGATAGTGTGTTATCAAACAAATTTTTGGATTGTGGGTGTACGTATTTAAAATGTTAAAATTAATTATCAAATATCAAGTATTTTAAGAAACATGCAAGTTTTGAAGTGAAATTAGAAATTTTGGGGACAAAATGTGAGTCATGAAAGTTGAGGGGTGCAAATGAACAACTACTCCAATATTTAGAAGACTACAGTAACGTTTGTTTTTTAAGATGTGTTAGAAGTCTAAAGTCTTATTTCACTCAATTTATTAGAGGTGGTGTTGAAGTCTGAAATATGAATCAATAAGACTGTTTGTTTTTGTAAATTGATAAACATCTGAATTTGATTAAATGATATATTTTACACATTAAAAATTATAGTGTTGAATTTATAGATAAATTTATACAATTTCGCATATTTATTCATCATCATTATGAAATTTACATCTAAATTATATAACTAACATTCATTTAAATGAAAATATGTCATTAACGATGTTTAACACATTTACATCCTATTAAAATACATTAGTTGAAAGAGGTGATATCGATTGAGAGAAATGATCGATTGAGGTTAATCGATTGAGAAACGTCGTTATTGACAATTTGAAGAACAATAAAAGACAAATAAGATGTTGATTTACCTCTTATCAGATAAGAAAAAAATAAGAGATAAGTGGCTCTAAAAAATTGAAAAAAAAACCCGGGGTGAATGACTCTGCCTCTTAAATAACCAGACATAGACTATTTTGAAGGTAATATTCGTGCATGGATATTAATTCTTTCATCCTCTTTTAGATTGAGCCATTTTATACGAATCAAAATAAAATACCAAGAAGAGAAATGCAGTATCAAGTATCCATTTACATTGAACGGAAGAAACAATAGCATAAGCTATTTCAATAACATAAATAAGCAAAGGTAATTTGTCTATTCAGACATTTATTAAATCAAAAATACACTTGATTAAGAATGACTAAAACAAATAAATTGTAATTGGAGGTTGCTTTAAGATGATGTAATACGATAAACTTATCCCATTTCGGGTTGTTAAAGAAGTTATGTGGTTTAATAATGTCTTGGTGGTGGGGGAGACTTATAGTAGTAAGACGGAGGAGGAGGAGACCTTGATGGTGGAGGTGGTGATTTGTAGATGTAGGGAGGTGGTGGTGATGATGATGGCGGTGGAGGAGACTTGTAGAGATAAGGAGGAGGTGGAGAGGGAGATGGCGGAGGGGGAGATTTGTAAACATAGGGAGGCGGAGGGGATGGTGAGGGAGGGGGTGGGGACTTGTACACGTAGGGAGGAGGAGGGGATGGTGATGGAGGGGGTGGGGACTTGTAGATGTAAGGAGGAGGAGGTGATGGTGATGGAGGAGGTGGAGACTTGTAGACATATGGAGGTGGTGGAGAAGGTGATGGTGGCGGGGGAGACTTGTATACATAGGGGGGAGGTGGGGAAGGTGATGGTGGAGGGGGAGACTTGTAAACATATGGAGGTGGTGGGGAAGGTGATGGTGGAGGGGGAGACTTGTAAACATATGGAGGTGGTGGGGAAGGTGATGGTGGAGGGGGAGACTTGTAGACGTATGGAGGTGGTGGGGATGGGGATGGTGGTGGAGGAGACTTGTAAACGTATGGTGGTGGTGGAGATGGTGATGGTGGTGGTGGAGACTTGTAGACGTATGGAGGTGGTGGGGATGGGGATGGTGGTGGTGGAGACTTGTAGACGTATGGAGGTGGTGGAGATGGGGATGGTGGTGGTGGAGACTTGTAAACATATGGAGGTGGTGGGGATGGGGATGGTGGAGGGGGAGACTTGTACACGTATGGAGGTGGCGGGGAAGGTGATGGTGGTGGAGGAGACTTGTAAACATATGGCGGTGGAGGAGATGGTGATGGTGATGGTGGTGGTGGAGACTTGTAGACGTATGGAGGTGGCGGTGAAGGTGATGGTGGTGGTGGAGACTTGTACACATATGGAGGTGGCGGTGAAGGTGATGGTGGTGGTGGAGACTTATACACATATGGAGGTGGTGGAGATGGTGGTGGTGGTGGTGGAGACTTGTAAACATATGTTGGTGGAGGAGATTTTGAAGGAGGAGGTGGCGACTTGTAGATGTAAGAAGGAGGAGGAGATTTGTGAAGAGAAGGTAGATGAGGCCATGTGTGCTTCAATGGTGGTGGTGGGGGAGACTTGTAATGCTTCACCGGTGGTGGCAGCTTCCATCCATAAGGGCGTGGAGAGTCATAAGTGTAAGGTTTATCAGCAACAACAATGGTGGCTAACAAGAAGAAAGCAATAACATTTAGAAATTGAGGCCAATGCCTCAACACCCCAAGACTTGCCATGTTCAGAAATGGTGGCCTCTTCCCTTAGAAGACTACTTGTATCTGTGTATGAGAATGGTTTGATTAGAAGCCTTTTTATAGGAATGATGGATACTTGTTAAATGCATAAAACAAGCTGTCAAAAATATTTGTTGATATAAAAGTAATGAATAGAACAATCCCACGAAGTTTCACACATTTTTTTCTCTAAATGTTGGATCGGGATTTGAAAGGTTCCCACCGAAGAAGTTGAAGGAGTCAAAGAGGATGATTGTAGTTGGTACGGCCTCTCCCTCTTTCATCTTTTTATTATTGTTTTTTAAATTTTATAATAGCAAATGTGTATTTAGTCTATAAAATAAACATGTATTTTTTATTAACATGCATATCTAACCCGATATGCGACTCGATTAATCTCAGAATTACCACATGTTCTGTGACCACAAAAAGATTTTTATACCTCCTAACATGAGACCTCCAGACGCTTTTGACTTTTGTAGGCTAAACTCCAACCAATCGGACATTAAATGAACGTCTATCGTAATTAACTAAAAGGGTTCTGATTTCTAGCTTACTAATGTTAGTAGCATCATTGTGTTAACCAGCTGGAGTTGGATGAGGGTATTTCATTTAAATTACTAAAAAATTTCAATTCAATTAAAAGTGAATATATATATATATATATATATATATATATATATGTCAGGGTTGGTTAGTTTATAGACTATAGTTCAATTCAACTCCTTTCTATAATTTATCTTAGAAACTTCAAAACCGAGTGGGAGCGATGCAGTTGGAGCCTGGAGGGCTATGAACATGCTAGCAATTAATCAATGCAAATCGTACCAAGAAGTGGTCGTCTTTTTTTCGTAATAATTAAGTTTACATGCATATTTATGTGGATACATATTTTGGATCATTTATACATACTTACGATTAATGAAAAAGACGTTTGATCGAAATGATTTTACTTCAGTTACATTTTTTTAATTTAAAGGTATTTTAAATACTATACTAAATTAAAACACTATATTTCAATTAATGTTACAGATTTATGAGCTAGAATATAGTTTTCAAATCAGGTTTTTAGAGAGCTTGGGATAGTGATAACTTTTATTTTTAGAGTTATTTTTTATTTATTTCCTTCATTTTTATATATATTAAATACTTAATTTCTTTATTTTTTTCCCCGTTTATTCTAAAAGTTTTAAAAAGAATGATGAAACACAAAAAAATAAATTTTATTCCAAAAATCTGCAATTTCTGGTAATTGCCTACAGTGTCATCACTGTGGAAAGTTCACGAATTTTTGTTAGTCTTCTACTTTTTGAAGGATGTTTTGCTTGAATATCTTGTCCAAAAATCTCTTACAGCTGGAGTTGCTTGTTGAAGTTGTATTTTGAATTTTTTTTAATGGGAAAATTACACCAAAATGGAATCAACTTTCATCTAATTCCTATTTTGGGGAACCAACTTTCAAAATCGTCATTTTGGGGAACCAACTTGGACCTGATTCCTATTTTGGGGAACCAACTTTCAAAATCGTCATTTTGGGGAACCAACTTGCACTTTATTCCTATTTTGGGGAACCAACTTTCAAAATCATCATTTTGGGGAACCAACTTGCACCTGATTCCTATTTTGGGGAACCAACTTGCAAAATAATTATAGAAAAATAACTAAAATTCATTTTTTTCCAAAAATTAATGCAATAAAATATATTTTTCATTTCAAATCTCATTTTTTTAATTCAGATATCAAATTGAACATTTTAAAAAAAATCCAAATTACCACAATAAAATTTATTTTTTTACTAATGCAGAAAAAATCAATTTAATAGAAAAAAAATTAATTGATACAATTGGTCAGATATAAAAATCTTGAATGTGATATTTAATATTTATTTTTTATTGCATCAATTAATTTTTTTCTATTAAATTGATTTTTTTTTGCATTAGTAAAAAACAATTTTTATTGTGGTAAGTTGGATTTTTTTTAAAAATGTTCAATTTGATATCTGAATTAAAAAAACGAAATTTGAAATGAAAAATAGATTTTATTGCATTAATTTTTGGATTTTTTTTTTTTGTTATTTTTCTATAATTATTTTGCAAGTTGGTTCCCCAAAATAGGAATCAGGTGCAAGTTGATTCCCCAAAATAACGATTTTGAAAGTTGGTTCTCCAAAATAAGAATCAGGTACAAGTTGGTTCCACAAAATAGGAATCAGGTACAAGTTGGTTCCCCAAAATGATGATTTTGAAAGTTAGTTCCCCAAAATAGAAATTAGATGAAAGTTGGTTCCATTTTGATGCAATTTTCCCTTTTTTAATTAGTTGTTAGATGGTCTTTGCCCCAAGGTTTGTGTGTGCTTAATTTCTTTTGGGTAAAAAACTTCATCTTTATCCTTTTCTCTCTTATATAAAGAGGCATTGGGTTCTCTTTGAAGATGATCTTGAGAAGTATTACCAGCTTAAATTCTTCTTTTTTTCTCTTATTTTTAGCTTAGCCAGGGCCGTCCCTGGGGGAGGGCGGCACGGGCGCACGCCCAGGGTCCAAAAATATAAGGGTCCCAAATTTTTCCCTTAAATTATATAGTAGTCTAAAATAATTTAATAAATTAAAGAAACCAAAAAATTGTAGCATATAATAAAAGACAAAAATAATTTAGCATATAATAAGGGCCCAAAAATATATCAACTAATTACATTGGAGAAGAAAATAAAAAAAATTAATTGATCATTCATTATATGCTATTGTTTATTATCCCTATAATTTTTTTTTATCTCCAACAATATCCAATGATATTGGCTATTGCTATCTCTATATGCTTGACTATTTTTGTGCTTCAACAATTCAACGTTAAAATCATATGTTTGCTATTGCTATTGCTATATATTTTTGTTAGATATTTTTATCAATTTCTATTTTTATTGATTATTGGTATTTGGTTATGTTGTTCTAATTGTTTTTGTTGACTATTGTTATCTATTTTTGCTTCTACATAATATATTTTACTTTTTTTTTTTTACAATTAATCTATTGATCTTATGATTTATGACGTGTTTCATGGTTTTGTGATTAATCAATAAATTTTTTCCACTAGATGTATTTAGTAATGTCTCTTATATATGTCATGTTCCATAAACTTTTAATATTAACATCTTATTTAGTTGAGCAAAAAAAGAAAAAAAAAATAGAATTTAAATATTTTCATCAATTGTTTGACTTATATATCTTTCATTGGGATTCCACCACACCACAAGATTCTATTTAAATGCTCAAACAATCATTTGTTGAACTTGCATATTATATGTTTAATTCATTATTTATTTTTACTAGATCTCAATGGATCATCTTTTATTTCATATTCTTATTAATCTTCATTTGTCTACTTGTCTAGAAAACCTTGATAATCTTCTTCATTATTGATCTCTCATTGACCTCATGATTATTTCATTAACACGAAATCTCTTTTTGTAT